TTTCATGCACACTCACATGTTGCATTTCTCATCAACAAAATGCCATGTAGAGTATTGAATATGAAATCACCTTACCAATTGTTAAATGGACAAGAACCTGAGATTCAATATTTGAAGATATTTGGCACAACTGTGTACCCATTTGTGAGACCATATAATGAAAACAAATTACAACCTAGGATAGCTCAATGTGTGTTTTTAGGATATGTGATGAGTTATATGGGAGTATCATGTTACAATATAAGTTTTGGAAAGTTAGTTATTTCTAGACATGTAGTGCATGATGAAGAGGTGTTCCCTTATAGAATTAAACAGTCTTCAGGATCACAGCAGTGTACATCTTCACATCAACAAAACTCAAGGCCTATTATGATACAATTACCAAAAGCTATAACAAGTTCATCATCAACATATTAAGACAGAGAGTATGTCAGCTACAGAGATTAATTCATACTCAGATTTGTCTAATTCATCAGACTCTCAATTTCTAGTGATTCAAGGTCTCAGTTTTCAGGTTCATTAGCACCTCAAAATTCTGAACTTCAATCTCCCCATCACCATCACTCTAGTACATCACCTGACAGATCACTTATGTTGCCTATCCACAACAATTCATAACTAGAGGTAATTCTTCCCATCTATCCATTAATTGAATCTTCATCTGAATCAACAATTAATCCATCAAATGTACTTGAGCATTTAATGGTGACAAGGTTGAAGTCTGGTATTATACAGAGGAAAAATTATGCAGCATTGGTTGCTAAATTTCCTGAGTTAGACACTTTTCAGATAACAAATGATGATCCATTTGTTGGAGGTTTTTCTTTTATCTCAGACATTGCAGATTCTTCAGAACCTTCATGTTTTCGAAAAGCTGCATCTATTTCACATTGGCAGAAGGCATTGCAAGAAAAGCATGATTCATTGAGAGTACAAAGTACTTGGTCTTTAGTGTCTGCTCCTGATAATAGGTCAATAGTTGGAAGCAAGTAGGTGTATAAGGTGAAGAAAAATCCTAGTGGTAGTATTTCCAGGTATAAAGCAATACTTGTGGCTCAAGGTTTTTCACAAGAGCATAATGTAGACTATTCAGATACTTTTAGTCCAGTTGTAAGACATACAACTATGAGAGTTATTCTTGCTTTGGCAACAATGAATCATTGGGAAATGAAACAACTTGATATTAAAAATGCATTCTTGCATGGTGATTTGTAGAAAAAAGTTTACATGAAGCAGCCTTAGGGTTTCATTGATCCAAGTCATCCAAATCATGTGTGTAAATTGTTCAAATTCTTATATGGCCTCAAATAGGCACCAAGGGCCTAGAATTCTAAATTCACTAGCTATTTGTTAGCAATGGGGTTCACTTCATCAGTCTCTGAAATCAGCTTATTCATGAAAACTGATGCCACATATAACATCATACTCTTGTTTTATGTTGATGATATAATCTTGACTGGATCAAATGTGAGTAAAATTGAAATTGTGATTCAAGAGTTGTCTACTGTGTTTGATTTGAAAGACTTGGGACAACTTACATACTTTCTTGGTTTACAAATACAATACAAGTCAAATGGGGACATCTTTGTTAATTAGTCAAAGTACATAAAAGACTTGGTTCATAAGGTAGGAATGGACTCTTGAAAACCTGCTACAACTCCTTGTAAACCACACAATCAAATGATGATGACTAATGGAAAGTTACTTGAAGATCCCAGCACATATAAAAGCATTGATGGTTCATTACAATACTTAACTTTTACAAGACATGACATTGCATTTACAGTAATTGCAATGCGTCAGTACATGAATTCTCCCACTGATATTCATTTTAGTGATGTTAAAAGAATTCTTAGATACCTTCAAGGTACATTGCAACATGGGATTGTATATTCTTCTCAGTCACAAGTTCATCTCACAACTTTTTCTGACTCTGATTGGACAACTGATCTTAATACTAGAAGATCAGTTATAGGTTATGTTGTATATCTTGGAAATAGCCCTATCTCTTGGCAATCGAAGAAACAGACTTCTGTGTCTAGAAGCTCTACAGAGGCTGAATATAAGGTCTTTGCACGCATAACTACAGACATTGCTTAGGTTAGGCAAATTTTGAAAGATTTGAATTGTTTTTTTTGTCTCAACCACCTGTAATTCACTATGATAATTTGTTAGTCATTGCATTAAGTTCAAATCCAGTGTTTCACTTAAGAATAAAGAACTTAGATACAAATTATCATTTTGTAAGGGAGAGAGTGCAGAAAGGTGATCTTGAGGTGATGTATATTCCTACTGAAGAACAAACTACTGATGTTCTTACAAAAGGTCTTCATAGTCTTGCCTTTATTAGACATTTTTACAATCTGAAGCCTGGAAATCCCAGCTCAGAATGAGTGGGGAGTGTTGACAATACCTGGACAACTCAGCAATGCCCGATCATCAATGCCAGCTTAACAGTTAGTTGTTTAAGTTTGTTAGAATTGGTGTGCTAACTTATCTTATACCGCAAGCTATTGCAGGCTATATAATTTGTGCATGCTTCATTGTGTATCATTAAGTCTCATTTCAATACAATAGCTTTCTCTTGAAGATTCAATCTCTCTCTTTGTGTGTTCTTAACATTCATTTCTTCACAGTCATACATTCATATTTCTCATATATGTGGATATGTTAATAATTGAAAGAGACAGAGAGATCTATAGCTCCAAACCCACCCCCGCCCACTTACAACCGTACAAAACTCCTTCCACCACCACCAAACCTTCACATCTCTCTCTCATGCACATACACTTTCTCTCATGACATGGTCAATCAACATGTCCATGAGAAAAGGTAAACCGAGGTAAGATATGACACATTGACGCATCATTAAAATGGTTATTCAACAACATTCTAAAAGAACAAAAAAATCTAGAATCAATCCACAAAAAAGTATTATATAAACATCAAAGTTTATTGATTGATAATTGATAAGATAAAAAAAAAACACTCATAAAGATCTTATTTATAATCTCTCTTAGCCCTAGGATCCTTGGGAGTAATAGGATTTAAATTAAACAATTAACAAAATATCAAACATTTTATTCCTTAATTAATCAGGAAAACATACATCATTTTCTTCATTCTCTCACTACTTTCTCTCCCTAGATTATTGTTTCATACTTTCTCTGAGTGTTATTATGATATCTAAGCCTAATTTTGATCTTCTTTTTATATCATTGTTGGCTGATTTATGTCTTTAAATTTTATCATATGTCACAACTAAGCGGTGATTTATGAACACTTCATTCTACCATCTGATCTACATCATATATATATATATATATATATATATATATATATTGGCATGTCATGTAGATATTGTTTGGGTTGATATTTAAACATTGGGCTTTGCATTAAGGAAGGCCCAAAGGCGCCAAAACAAGTTGAACTTGCCCGAAGCCCAGCAATGAGGCCTGAAGAAAACTGAAGCCTTCTCATCCAAGGCATAAGCCATGTACCTATGATTGAAGTGACAAATGACAGAGACCAGCTCACTACCAGCGAAAAAACACTTTCTAGTGGCATTACAAGTAAATAGACGATGACTCACTGCCCTTCGAGAGCCCTCCGCCAAGAGTGAAGCTAAAGCAGTCTGGCTAAATTGTCTATAAAAGGGGAAAGAGACATCAGAGGCAATGACACTCAAACAATCAATCAATCAATCAATACACAAACTCTGCTCCCAAGCCAGTTCGGACCCAGAAAACTGAAACTTGTCCAGATTTAGTCCTTTTAGCTATAACTCCCTTAGAAAAGCTATCTTTTGTCTAGTGTAAAAGCTCTACTACCTTCCTTTAGTGTTGTAGTATCGATTCCCTCATGTAAAACTTGTTTACCATCCATCTCTTTTAGCTTACAACCTCTATAAACTAAAAGATAAGTAGCTGCAAGAAGTTTAACCTTGCCCGACAAGGTGAAATCTTGCCTGAGTCTCTTTGTTTTGTACTTCCATTTAGTAGATCTATCGCTTAATGTACTTTTTAACATGTATTCAAGTTATTTCCAACTGTTTTCTACCTAAAAGTCCATTTGCATTCAAATATGGTTAACTTAACAAACATGTTTTCACAAGGAACAAATTGTGTTCGAGGAAATGGTTAAAAGGGCCCTGAACTCCCTTCATTTTGAACATACAAGATTATAAACTTAAAGTCCTTGTTACTTGACCCATTTGTGACAATCCTTTGATAACAAGAAGTTTAAGTAACTTGGAGCGCAAGTAATCGACTTAAATCACATCTATTCAACATTTGTTATACTGAGATAGCAGTGGCACCCCAAGATCGTTGTTAGTTTTGATTGTGAGCCTCAAGGCCTACACCTAAGACCCTAGAAATGCACCTTTCAAGACTAACTACTAATCTGTCTTGCAGCATACCCAACAAGAACCAAGCCCGACAACCAACCAAGTGTCAAACCCCCGGGGACCTGTGTGAGGGGAAAATCCTTGCCCCCGAACAAATATTATCTTGAATTTGTTAATGCTAGTGATGGAGTGCAGGGAGTACAACGGTATTGTGTGCATCTTGGCAAGCAAGGGTTACCTCACCTGGACAGTTTTCATAGATTCCAATACTTAGTGGATCACAACTAGGTCAGATCGTCTCCCTTTTCAGTTTTCTATCATCTCGATCTTGAATTCTATTACATAGAACATAAAATTATAAACATTTTTCATATATAGATGCATAATAGTTTCTTCAAGATACGACATGCATAATTAATTTTTAAATTATTTTGATTCCATCAAAATACCTTAGATATCAATATTGTCAACATTTCTACATATTATTTGAGACTAGAGAACAATTTTTATTTATTTAATTTTTTTTTTTAAGAAAAGACTCATTGATGTCCAAACTCATATTCAAAAAACTTCATAAAACACTTGGAAGAAAAAAAAAAAACACAATATAAATTATTATCTGATCACTACATGGCCAGCTAGCCACGAGCTACACTGGCAAAGACACGAATAATTTTGGCGTTCTCTTTGTCTCTAAGCAATAGATGTGAAGTTGAAATCAGCACAAGTTGTCGGTCCAGACAAGAGCGAGTTACAGAACCCAAGCCTAGACGCAGCCAAATCAAACTGCAAAAAATTTTCCTCTAACTGAAGCCCTCCGATCACAATTGAGGTCATTGGGTTACTAGGGCTCAACCCAGCATCCACAAACCCTAAACACAAAACCTCCTCGTTCACTTGCACCATTGAGTTTGCTCCCAAGAACCTCCAGTATACACTCCCACTCTGCAGCACAAAGTCGACGGTAGGCACAGCTGGCCCGACACGTGTCCTTCCGATGCGGGTTGAGTTGAAGCAAGCTCCGAAAGGCTCCACTGGTGCAACCCTAGGAATGTGAGCAGGGACTTCTTTGAGAAACAAATCCACAAACGCGGTGTAGATTGTGTTCTCCAACACCGTGTAAGGGTTGACGGTGCTAATCTTTGTGCCTCCGTAGCCGTATTCTTTAATGACTAGCAAGGAAGTGTTTAACGGCACGGTCTCGTCGTTGATTTTGATGGACTTTACGTTAATGAAATAGTCTGAAGAAGCTTGGCCTTCCATGTAAGCGGGTCCGGTGGAGTAATGGTAGAGGAGCAATGGAGTGTAAACAAGCGACTCCGACAAAACGTTGTGATTCAGCACATAAGGCCCGTTCCCGTAGAAAACGACACCATTTGAACTGGTTGAGGAGCTCAAGCAAAAAGCAAATTTTCTATGGAAACTAAAAGCGGAGGCGAATTGGGATGGAAGCCCGATTTTAGCCCTGCCGAGACCAGCCATACCGGTGACGCCATTGGCTAGTTGTGTCAAGAGAAATGTTTCGCCACAAACGAAAAGAAAGTTGGGGTGGGAAACTAGTCGTCCAGGTTGTGACCCATCTGTGGAGTGGAGGGCCAGGCGGTCTAGACCTAGCTGATTAAAATTGCCTCCTTACCTAATTATTGTGTTGGCTGGCATGAGGACGCAGGTATTATTGTTGCAGCCTGGTCTCACCGGAGGCGAGTTGCAGTCGTGACAAGACTTGGAGTTTGCAAGAGAGCATTGGGCGGAGTGGCAGCGGGAAGGCTTGTAGGTGGAGGAGACAAAGTCTTTCTTGCAGTCAACCCAGAATAACTCACCACCAAGATCTATGGTCAGTTTTAGGGGCACTAGAGGGGTTCTCTGCTTGAAGGTTGTGAGGTATTGGAGAGTAGAAGCGTTTTTTTTTTTTGACCGGAAGAACTAGGGCCTTGGGTCTGAATGATTTTTTGTTCGTCACAAATTATATGATTTGCAAATTTGACCTAAAAAATTGGTATACATAGCATTACTTACTTCACTTTATTTTTGTATAATGTTAAATGATTGTACACAAAATCAGTATTTATGTTCTTTGAACTTTCATAAACCTAATCTAGCGGCACCAATTTAGTTTATTCATTAATTTGGTCTACATAGTATTACTATGAAAACTTCATTTTAAAGAGATGACTTTTAGAGTAAAACTTTGACTGATCCTATGATTTTCTGAGACCAACTCCAACCCTTAGAGTGAAACACAAATTTTAGGTTCTAAATCTCCCATAATTTGCTCAAATCCTTGGGGGCAAATATGAGTTTTAACCCAAAACTCATTTAGGTTAGGATTCCCTTGGGTTAGTGGGCTAAGATCTACTATGATCAAATCCAACGGTAAAAAAAAAACGGTTCAAATTTAAATCCAACGGCTAAAGTATTTTTTTCATAGTGTTCCACGAGTTTCATATTCATAAAATTAAATTAAGATAGTCTACATAATTATTTTTTTTAAGTTACTTTAAGAAAAAAAATTCTTAAATTCTTTTTTTATTAATCTCGGGCTAAAACCTTCTGAGTTAAAATTTTTAAGTTTTAACTCAAGGATTGGAGATGGTTTGAATGGGTTTGTTATTCTTTGCCAGTATTTCTCACCTTTGGAGTAGTGTTTCAAGGTATAAAGCAAGGCTTGTAGCCCAAGGTTTTTGTAATATCCTGAAAAAATTGAAGTATATGAAATTGATATTCATAGTTATGAATATGTGGGCAAAGTAGGGAAATGAATCACTAAATGGTTAAGAATATTTCAGTGGGGAAATGTGAAATCCTGTTCCTGATTTTGAATATTAAATTAAGTATTTTGTAGTCGTATTAGTGGTTACGATGTATTTATACTTACAGCGGATATTTGTTCGATAAGTGAACAGATGAAAATGCCTTAGTTGGCTCAATTTAATTATACGAGGATGTATTTTATCCTCACATATTTTATCATATTCTTGATATATTTGGATAGAGGACGATCCTACGAGCATGTAGACAAAAACCGTTTGTTCATTGGAACGATAAATGAAAAGTTACGGACGTTAGAAGTTCTTAAATAAAATAGACATTTAATATTTTTGGGTTCCCATTAAATTGGGAAGGGACCAATTAGAGGAAAAAAAAAAAAAAGGCAGGAGGAGGATGGACGAACGGGAAGGAGGGGAAAGAAGAAAAAAAAAATGAAAAAATGGAAGAAAGAAGAAGAAGGGGGGCTACCCAATCAGGGAGAAAAAGAAGATGAAGGGACCAATGATGGACAGGAGAAAGGAGAGGGAAAAAAAGGAGAGGATTTTTTGTTTTTTTTTTTGGGGGGGGGGGGGGGGGGGGGGGGGAGGGGGTGGTGGTAACAACCCAGCAAAACCGGGTCATCCCTTAACCTGCGGCCCGACTCGACGAAAGTCATGGTATCGACGCCCTTTCAGGCGATTTCTCCAGTGATTAGAAGCCACACATCACCTGGAATTGACCTAGCACCCTTTCCTCTTCCAACTTCATATAAAAAAATAAAAAAATAAAAAAAAGCCCGAGTTAAATTCGTTTGATTTTGTGATAAATTCACCCGCAGGTTCGCCGTACACCTCCATTTTTGAAGGTAGTACAGTCGACCACCCCCATCAAACCACTTCTCATGAGGTTTGGAACAAAGCACAAACAACTATAGGGGTGGCGGAGAACTGGAGATGAAGGATCAAAGCCACCTATTTCTAAGGTTTCCGGTGAGTTCGAGTGAAATTGGGGCATTTCCCGACCAAATTGGCCTTGGTCACAGGTATGAAACTTGCTCTACTCATTGAGATATACAATTCTGTAAAATTTTATAATTTTTGGAGTTAGTTGAATTTTACGGCGAGTCAAGGAGGCCGGCATCCATGTACGGCGGTGTGTGGGCCGAGGCACCCCCTAACCATACTAAGCTAAATTTTGATGGCCTAATTCCATATTTGACATCCTATTAACAAAATTCCATTGTTTGAGTATAATTTCGTTAAGGTCCGACACTTCAATAGTATAACAATCGACGATCCGACAGTTGGATCGTCACCAAACTTTGATACATTATAGTACATAATATTTGAGGACCATAGAAACTTACGGATCAAGAATCTAACATATGGATCTTCCCAAATTGGATTTGTAAGTTCATAAAATAAAACGTTGACCGCCACTGAAAATTATGATTGGCAGAGATCCAACCGTTGGATCGTGGTAAGATTTTAGGAGGTTCTATGAGCATAGTAAGGACCTTAGGAAGTTATGGATCTAAAATCTGATGTGTGGATCTTCTAGATCAAATTACAGACAGTTGTGGACCCTACGTTGACCGAGTGTTGACTTTTGGTCAACATGTCTCAAAATGTTCTAAATAATAAAATTAGTACTACAAGAGACTAAGTGAAGTCTAGTGGGCCTATATTGGTTAGAGAATGACTTGAATATTTGCATAAATGAATTAAAAATGAATTGTGAACTACAATTGGCTTGATCCCTCAAAAGGGTACGTAGGCAGTCTAACGAGAAGTTAGATGCAACCATAAAATAAATGAGAATAAATTTTAGTGGAAAATCTTCAAAGAAAGAAATGTTAGAATGGTTGTTAACCTAAAAGGTAACAATGACATTTTTGGCCTACCATTAAATGTATTTCTGAAAAAAATTGGCGAGGCGGGGCAGGGCGTTACAAATGGTATCAGAGCAAATGATCCTACCTTACAATATGCAATATTATTGATGGTTGTGGATGTGAATTGCATTGATTTTGCACTATTTCATAAGTTCTTTGACTAATGAGGAATTTATGTGAAATACCTATATTGTGGATCACTATGAAGTGAATTGAATTGAGTATGAGTAGAAAATTTTAAAATGTCATATTTTATGTATAGCTATAAGAATGAGCGTTTGATTTAAAGTTTTCGGATTACTCTTGAATTAAGTTGATATTATGTTATTCATTATTAAGATTTTGAACACTAAGATGATTGTGAAATTGTGACAAGTAGATGGAAAAGTCGTATTATACCTGTGCAATTGAGAAATGTTGAATTGGGCGAAAAGGCCCATGAAAGTTGATTTGGGTGGAAAAGGCCCGTGGATGTTGATTTGGGCAAAAAGGCCCGTGGATGTTAATTTGGGCGTGATGGCCTGTGGAATGGGAGGAATGTTTGATTGGGCAAAATGGCCCGTGGATGTTTGATTGGGCAAAATGACATGTGGATGTTTGATTGGGTAAAGTGGCCCGTGAATGTTGATTTGGGCAAAATGACTCATGAAATGTGGAGAAATAATTGAATGGGCACAAAGACCCAGAGTTTCCAGGAGAAAAGCTCCATGTGTGGGTTGTGAGAATGAGTCATCAATATGGTGTGTATCGACCAGGTATATTACAATCTTTTCCAGTTGCTAGTCACTTATTGGGATAAAAGAAAACGGTGATGAAATTGTTGTTTTGCCAATGATATTTATGGCTGGAAAATTTAAGTATGTGAAATTCTGATAGTTATTTGGCTGATAATGGCTACGATGGGAAAATATGGTAATTGTTTTGCCCAAAAATGAATAGGGCAAAATTTTTATGATGTTTGGTATCGCCAGTGAATGTGGCTAGAATTTCTGATATTGATTCTGCAAATAAATGTTGCTGGGAATCTGAGTATATGGGTGAGAATCACGATGATTTATTGGTTGATTTTTTTTTTGTTTTATTTTGAGCTTGAATAAAATCGTAGACTGAGGTTATGATTTTACTATAAATGGAATGGTGGGATTAGCTTTAAATTCCTTTTCGTTAATCGATGGTAGAAATTTCGTGGACGAGATTTATTTTAATAGGGGTCGAATGTAATATCCTGAAAACATTTAAGTATATGAAATTGATATTCATATTTATGAATATGTGGGCAAAGTAGGGAAATGAATCACTAAATGGTTAAGAATATTTCAGAGGGGAAATATGAAATCCCGTTCCTGATTTTGATTATTAAATTAAGTATTTTGTAGTCGTATTAGTGGTTAAGACGTATTTATATTTACGGCGGATATTTGTTCGATAAGTGAAAAGAAAAAATGCCCTAGTTGGCTCAATGTAATTATACGAGGACATATTTTATCATATTCTTGATATATTTGAATAGAGGACGATCTTACGAGCGCGTAGGCAAAAACCGTTTGTCCATTGGAACGAGAAACGAAAAGTTACGGACGTTAGAAGTTCTTAAATAAAATTGAAATTTTGGGTTCCCATTAAATTGGGAAGGGACCAATTAGAAAAAGAAAAAGGAATAAAAAGAAAAGGGAGGAAGATGATGGATGAACGGGGATGAGGGGAAAGAAGAAAAAAAAAACGAAAAAAGGGAAGAAGGAAGAATAAGGGGGGCTACCCAATCGGGGAGAAAGAGAAGAAGGATGGACGAATGACAGACAGGGGAAAGAAGAAAAAAAAAACGAAAAAAAGGGAAGAAGGAAGAATAAGGGGGGTTACCCAATCGGGGAGAAAGAGAAGAAGGATGGACGAATGACAAATAGGAGAAAGGAGAGAGAAGAGAAAGGAGAGGGAAGAGGGAAGAAAAGAAGAGGAACCGAGGGGGGGAGGGTAACAACCCAGCCAAACCCGGTCATCCTTTAACCGGCGGCCCAACCTGGCAAAAGCCATGGTTTCCGACGCCCTTTCAAAATATTTCTCCAGCGATTAGAAGCCACACATCCCCTGGGATTGACCTAGCACCCCTTTCTCTTCCAATTTCATCAAAAAAATGGAGTTAAATTGGTTTGATTTCGTGATAAACTCACAGGCGGGTTCGTGAGGTGTACGACTAAATTCCTCCATTTTTTAAGATAGTTCGACCACCAACATCAAACTACTCCTCATGAGGTTTGGAA